ATTAAACAAAGTGAAAGGTTTAGGTCCACTAGTAGTGGCAAGGAATATGATATAAGAACATTTTTAAACTGCAACACACGGAACGTCATATATTTAATCACATGTGCGGAATATGCTGTGTAGTATGTGGGGCGCAGGACCAGGTGACTATGAGAATGATTGAGGGACCACATATAGGACACTTTTGGGAAGCATGACACAAGTGTGGCTTAGCATTTCAATGAGAAGCATGAGGGTAATACCATGACCATACGTATACAGGCGGTTACTACTCCCAAGAGAGGAGGGATCGATTTAGGATATTGTGCAAATGGGAGGTACATTGGATTTTCCATTTAAAGACTAGAATCCCAGAGGGGCTCAATTTTGAGTTGACCCCATTTTATTAGTAATTATATATCTTCATACTAAAGGCATTTTCAGTGAGCTTGTTTTTTCTTTGGTTGTTTTCATATCACTATATGTGATATGTGATCATGGGTGGTAGTACCAGTGTAGAGGGAGTTTGGGAGCACTAGAACATAAACCCAAATAGGGATTAGGGATGGACCATGGATGGCTGCATAAGTATAAGGTCCATATATGCAAATGATAGTAAGCAGATATATAATCCAACCATGTCTTAAGTGGAGGGTTTGAAGACTGGTGAGTCTGTAGACATATATGTGTCTTGAAAGTGGAGGCAGCCAGCTGTCAGAGCTTGAAGATACTCTAGTACACAGATAGGAGAGAAGAAAAACAGTGGTGCCACTCTAAGTGTAGACTGTTTTAAAAGCAGGCTGATCTAATGATAAAAACACACTCACAAGAGTAGGATAAAAAACAGGCATGTCGATATGTGAGAATTCCGTTAATGCTGATAATCCTGTGCCAGGCTCCTGTGTGCCCCCGCCGCTCTGGTGGTTTCCAGGGCTCAGGGGGTACCAGAGAGGTGCAGGGAGGCTCTGTATGATGGCATCACTCGGGACCGGATCTCCAAAATATAGCGCATGTTCAGAGCATGCGTGCTACTTCCTCAAGCCGATCTGGCAGCCATCTTAGTTAAGGGTTATATGGGCAGTGCTGGAGGGCAGAGCATGGAATTGCAGGTCCGCTTTCACTGCTGTCAGATAAGACTGTTAACACTATGGTGACCGGATGGTTTAAATTAACATAATACTGGATATGCAGCGACAGGATACTTTGAAAAGGCTATATATGTGATACTTACAATCGAAGCTGGGGGCTTTCATAAAGGTGGAAACAAAAAACAACACCTCCTGCATTCTATGACCCAGATAAAGGGTGGATAGCTGGACACGGAACTTGAAGAAATTCACCACCAAAGCATTTAAGGTTGTGCGGCTCTAAACAAGGCTGGGGTGGGTATGGGGATAAAGTGTACATGTATGATGTGATAAGATTATATGATGGTTTTGTAATGTATTTTTTTCCTAAAAGAAAATTTTACAAAAGATACAGGTGAAACTCGAAAAAATTAGAATATCGTGCAAAAGTTATTTTATTTCAGTAATGCAACTCAAAAGGTGAAACTAATATATGAGATAGACTCATTACATGCAAAGCAAGATAGTTCAAGACATGATTTGTCATAATTGTGATAATTATATCTTACTGCTCATGAAAACCCCAAATCCACAATCTCAGAAAATTAGAATATTACATGCAATCAACAAAACAAGGATTGTACATAGAACAATGTCGGACATCTGAAAAGTATAAGCATGCATATGTACTCATTACTTGGTTTGGGTCCCTTTTGCAGCAATTACTGCCTCAATGCGGCGTGGCATGGAAGCTATCAGCCTGTGGCACTGCTGCGGTGTTATGGAAGACCAGGATGCTTCAATAGCGGCCTTCAGCTCTTCTGCACTGTTCAGTCTCATGTCTCTCATCTTTCTCTTGGCAATGCCCCATAGATTCTCTATGGGGTTCAGGTCAGGCGAGTTTGCTGGCCAATCAAGCACAGTAATACCACGGTCACTGAACCAGGTTTTGGTGTTTTTGGCAGTGTGGGCAGGTGCCAAGTTCTGCTGGGAAAATTAAGTCAGCATCCCCATAAAGCTCGTCTGCAGAGGAAGCATGAAGTGCTCCAAAATCTCCTGGTAGACGGCTGCGTTGACCCTGGACTTAATAAAGCACAGTGGACCAACACCAGCAGATGACATGGCTCCCCAAATCAACACAGACTGTGGAAACGTCACACAGGACTTCAAGCATCTTGCAGTGTGTGCCTCTCCATTCTTCTGCAAAAGTTGCTCTCATCAGAAAAGAGGATTTTGGACCACTGAGCAACAGACCAGGTCTGTTTTTCTTTAGCCCAGGTAAGACGATTCTGATGTTGTTTGTTTTTCAGGAGCGGCGCTTGACAAGAGGAATACGACATCTGAAGCCCATGTCCAGGATCCGTCTGTGTGTGGTGGCTTTTGATGCACTGACTCCAGCCTCAGTCCACTCCTTGTGAAAGTCCCCAACACTTTTGAATGGCCTTTTCCTGACAATCCTCTCCAGGCTGTGGTCATCCCTGCTGCTTGTGCACCTTTTTCTTCCACACTTTTCCCATCCACATAACTTTTTATTAATGTGCTTTGATACAGCACTTTGGGAACATCCAACCTCTTTTGCAATTACCTTTTGAGGCTTTCCCTCCTTATGGAGGATGTCAATGATGGTTTTCTCCACAACTGTCAGGTCAGCAGTCTTTCCAATGATTGTGATTCCTACTGAACCGGACTGAGAGACCATTTAAAGGTTCAGGAACCCTTTGCAGGTGTTATGGCTTAATTAGCTGATTAGAGTGGGACACTTTGAGCCGAGAATATTGCACCTTTTCACAATATTCTAATTTTCCCTCCCCCCATCCATACCAGGCCCTAGAGAACAGCGATAGTAAATTAGAACCACTTGCAGAATTGAGTGATAATGATTCGTGGGGAAATTCATCATCAGACACTGTAAACGATTTTGTGACTAAGATCAGTGATGTGCGAACTTGGCGCTCTATTTCAAATTTCAGTGTTTTTGGCTTGATTATATTATTTAATTAAATGTATTATTATTATTTTTTAGGTTTATTTATTATATTAGAATTTATAATTTCGTGTTTCAAATCTTATCATACCCTGGATGTTTACTAGACTCTTGTTCGGACAGATTTTAGTGAGTTATTCCTAAAAATTACAGGCCTACAATAAAAAAACAACATATTTCCATGCAAAAAAATGTACTGCTTTGAGCACAGAAATATTGACATAATCAGACAGCTAGGGAGGTTAAGTGTCCAAATGATAAATGGCCTTTCTATTGGAATGAATGTGATTTTTTTAAGCGTGTGCATAAGAAGTAAGGAGCTAGCCAGTTTGCAGGAGCACCTGTTTGTCTCCCTGTGAGCCACATACGTAGATCTAGAGCAAGGGTCTTCAGACTTTCTAAACAAAGTGCCAGTTTATTGTCCTTCAGACTTTATGGGGGCTGGACTGAGACCAGTGGGATTGGAATATTCTCTTGCATCAGTGAGAGTAAATATCATCACGTTTGATATTAGGGGGAGGAATAGTGATGCATCATTGATATCATTGGGAGGAATAGTGCCCCATTCTTGGTGCCAGTGGAATAAACAGTGCCCCACTGTTGATGTCAATTGGCAGAACAGTCTCATATCAGTGGGAGGAAAAGTGCCTCAAGGGCCAGATAAATACAAGCAAAAGGCTGCATCTCGTCCCCGGGCCACAGTTTGGTGACCACTGATCTAGAGGAATGCAGCCAGGTGAGTACTAGAGTATTAGATAGATATAAAAATAGGAAAGTTTGCTTTCAATTAAAAAACTGAGGAAAATATAAGCATTGAGCACCAAAAAAATAAATAACAACATAGAAAAGAAAAGAAAAAGACAATAAAGAAGGAGTAAAGAGGAAAAAAGCAAAAACATAAGTTCAGGGTGTTGCGTGTTGCTGTTGTAATTGCCTGTCTACTAGAGTAACTGTGTAGTGAAACATAAAAACTCTGAAAAGAACCACATGATATTTACATGTAATTATGAATTTAGTATACAGTATGTATTCAGTTTTCTTATTTCCTGTCTTCCATGTTTTTATTTTTATTTTACTTGAAGAGCATGTTGTCCAGTAAAAAAAAGTATTGATGGGCTGGGACAAACTATAACACTGTAAGACATGTTTACAAAGGTTACCATTCTTAAAGTAATTGTTTGGACAAAAGAAACATACTTAGTAAATCTCTAAAATGTGCATATCAGCATGTTTTTATGTGTTGTAAGCACAAAATAACACTTACCGTTTTACCTCAAATCCAGCATCAGCACATCTACAGAGAACTTCCTCTTATCTTACAGAAATGAGGATAGGGGGAGATGTTCTGTGGTCCATAAAGGAGAACGTGAAAGGGCTCACAGATAAGTTTTTTTTTTTTTTTCAAAATTGACAGTATTTTTTGTTATAGCACAAATAGTAAAAAAAACTCTATTTTTGGGGAAAAAATTACATAAATTTAATTTATGTACAGCACTGCATCACCACACAATTGTCAGCTGAAGTAACGCAGTGCCATATAGTAAAACATGGCTTGGTCAGGAAGGGGATAAATCTTTTGGAGGTCCAAAGAGGATAACATATACAATTGCTACAATTTAACTTGTTGCCAACCGCAGATAGCCGAATGACGGCTGCACTGTGGCCGGCCAGTTCTGAGTGGACGTCATATGACGTCCTCCCAGAACGCGCTCTCCTGCGCGCTCCAGGGGGCGCGCACCCGGCGATCTCCGTGATCGCTGTGTCCTACGGACACAGCTGATCACGTGATGTGGTAAAAGGCCAATCACAGCGGCCTTTCACCACATGATCAGCGGTGTCCAATGACACGCTGATCAGAGGGAAATGCAAGTGCCGGTTCTTGGCTGCACTTTCCTCACGCTGTCAGATCGTGAGGAAAGTATTGCCGAGAACCGGCAGTTGTCAGAGCGAGGATCGGCACCGATCATCAGGGCACTGATGATCAGTGCCCTGATGATCGGTGCCCAGCAGTGGCACCCCGCAAGTTCCGCCCACCTGTGCCCAGCAGTGCGCCCACTAGCTCCGCCCACCTGCGCCTAGCAGATCACCCACCTGTGCCCAGCAGTGCACCCACCTGTGCCCAGCAGTGCACCCACCTGTGCCACTCTGCAGTGTCACACACCTGTGCCCAGAAGTGCCACCTACCTGTGCCCAGCAGTGCCACCCACCTGTGCCCACCCACCTGTGCCCACCAGTGCCACCCACCTGTGCCCACCAGTGCCACCCACCTGTGCCCACCCACCAGTGCTGCCCACCAGTGCCACCCACCAGTGCAGCCCAGCAGTGCTGCCAGTCAGTGCCACCAGTCAGTGTCCAGCGGTTGTGCCAGTCAGTGCCGCCAGTCAGTGCCCAGCAGTGATGCCAGTCAGTGCCGTCTGTCAGTACCCATCATCAGTGTCACCTATCAGTGCCGCCTATCAGTGCTGCATATTAGTGCCGCCTATCCGTGACACCTCATTAGTGCTGTCTATCAGTGCCGCCTATCCGTGCCACCTCATTAGTACTGCCCATCAGTGCCCTTTAGTGCTGCCTATCAGTGCCCATCAGTGCCGCCTATCAGTGCCCATCAGTGCTGCCTCATCAACGCACATCAGTGAAGGAGAAAAATTACCTGTTTGAAAAAATTTTATAATAGAAACAAAGAAACTTTTTTTTTTTTTTTTCAAATTTTTTGCAATTTTTTTATTTATAGCGCAAAAAGTAAAGCGCCCAGTGGCGATTAAATACCACCAAAAGAAAGCTCTATTTGTGAGAAAAAAATGATCAAAATTTCATATGGGTACAATATTGCATGACCGCGCAATTGTCAATCAAAGTGTGGCAGCGCTGAAAGCTGAAAATTGGCCTGGTAAATAAGGGGGTATAAGTGCCTGGTAGGCAAGTGGTTAATGTTATTACAAATCAGTTTTCCATTTCAATCTAAAACCAATATAATTTTTTAAAACTGTTTAAAAAATGAAATGCAATATGGCAATCTCGAATTGTTCTGTACACCACTGGTCTACCAAATGCCCCCAGAAATGTAATTTCCTGCTTGTGTAATTGACACACTGATTTTTCTCAAACATATTTATTTTTTTTATTTATTACAGGTATTTAATAAATTATATAGTGCTGTCAATTTACATAGCGCTTTACATACAGTATCTCACAGAAGTGAGTATACCCCTCACATTTTTGTAAATATTTTATTATATCTTTTCATGTGACAACACTGAAGAAATGACACTTTGCTACAATGAAAAAATAGTGAGTGTACAGCTTGTATAACAGTATAAATTTGCTATCCCCTCAAAATAACGCAACACACAGCCATTAATGTCCAAACCGCTGGCAAAAAAGTGAGTACACCCCTAATTGAAAATGTAAAAAATTGGGCCCAAAGTGTCAATATTTTGTGTGACCACCATTATTTTCCAGCACTGCCTTAACCCTCTTGGGCATGGAGGTCACCAGACCTTCACAGGTTGCCACTGGAGTCCTCTTCCACTCCTCCATGAAGACATCACGGAGCTGGTGGATGTTAGAGACCTTGTGCTCTTCCATTTTCCATTTGAGCATGCGCCACCGATGCTCAATAGGGTTTAGCTCTGGAGACATGCTTGGCGAATCCATCACTTTTACCCTCAGCTTCTTTAGCAAGGCAGTGGTCGTCTTGGAGGTGTGTTTGGGGTCGTTATTATATTGGAATACTGCTGTGCGGCCCAGTCACCGAAGGGAGGGGATCATGCTCTGCTTCAGCATGTCACAGTGCATGTTGGCATTTCATGGTTCCCTCAGTGAACTCTAGCTCCCCAGTGTCGGCAGCACTCATACAGCCCCAGACCATGATACTCCCACCACCATGCTTGACTGTAGGCAAGACACACTTGTTTTTGTACTCCTCACCTGGTTGCCGCCACACACGCTTGACACCATCTGAACCAAATAAGTTTATCTTGGTCTCATCAGACTACAGGACATGGTTCCAGTAATCCATGTCCTTAGTCTGCTTGTCTTCAGCAAATTGTTTGCGGGCTTTCTTGTGCATCATCTTTAGAAGAGGCTTCCTTCTGGGATGACAGCCATGCAGACCAATTTGATGCAGTGTGCGGCATATGGTCTGAGCACTGACAGACTGACCCCCCCCACACCTTCAACCTCTACAGCAATGCTGGCAGCACTCATAGGTCTATTTTCCAAAGACAACCTCTGGATATGACTCTAAACACAAGCACTCAACTTCTTTGGTCGACCATGGCAAGGCCTGTTCTGAGTGGAACCTGCCCTGTAAAACCGCTGTATGGTCTTGGCCACCATGCTGCAGGTCAGTTTCAGGGTCTTGGCAATCATCTTATAGCCTAGGCCATCTTTATGTAGAGCAACAATTCTTTTTTTTCAGATCCTCAGAGAATTCTTTGCCATGAGGTGCCATGTTGAATTTCCAGTGACCAGTATGAGAGAGTGAGAGCGGTAACACCAAATTTTAACACACCTGCTCCCCATTCACACCTGAGACCTTGTAACACTAATGAGTCACATGACTCTGGGGAGGGAAAATTGCTAATTGGGCCCAGTTTGGCCATTTTCACTTACAGGTGTACTCACTTTTGTTGCCAGCGGTTTAAACATTAATGGCTGTGTGTTGAGTTATTTTTTTGAGGGGACAGCAAATTTACACTGTTATACAAGCTGTACACTCACTACCTTACATTGTAGCAAAGAATCATTTCTTCAGTGTTGTCACATGAAAAGATATAATAAAATATTTACAAAAATGTGAGGGGTGTACTTACTTCTGTGACTCACTGTATATATTGTACGTCCACATCAGTCCCAACCCTCAAGGGACGTATAATCTAAGGTCCCTAACTTACATTCATACATACACATACAAGGGCCAATTTAGACAGGATCCAATTAACCTACTGGCATGTCTTTGGAGTGTGGGAGGAAACCAGAGTGCCCAGAGGAAACCCACGCAGGCACAGAAAGAACATGCAAATTCCAGGCAGGTGGTGCTGTGGTTGGGATTCAAACCAATGACCCTAGTATTGCCAGATGGATGTACTAACCATTTAGCCACTGTGCTAAACATATTCACTAAGATACAAATAAAACTGCAGGCATTGGCTGCAATAGGAATTGGAATTGTTTCTGAGATACTCCCTAAGGATTAATTACTTCTAAAGGGATGTTGATACTGTAACATTCCACATTAGAACACTGAGATTTCCCCAGGTGGTTATAATGAACCAGACCCTCCCATTTAAAGAAGACATGGAGAAACAAACAACCCATTTTTTCTACTACGAAGTTTGTTAAATTTCTTACAATGTATATTTATCACCTAAAGGGGATTTTTTTTCACAAAAGTGAAGTTAGATTAAAATGGAGAAAAAAATGAGGATTAATGAGCATCCTTTTTGTAGTGTTCTGTACTGGCCTATGGAAGGAGTTTGGCAGAAACAGAACTCCACTGCAGTAATGCCCTCTGCAACAGTAATTAACATTTACCAGAAATTTGCATATCTAAACTAACACATACAGCTTTGCCTAAATGCAAACAGTAGAAGGCAGTAAACCATATGCTGTGTGTTACATGTGTTTATAGTCTTGATCAAACTGTACAGCACAAGACACTAATTCAAACTTCCCTTTCACTCCCTACTGCTTCTGTATAAATGGATAATACAGAACACATCTCTACTTAATGCAAGAGAATCAGCAAGTCAGTTTCTGCTCTTGAGAAACAACAGTGAAACAACAGCACTTAGAATTGGGACTATAAATGTACCTCCTGAGGTATAGAACAAAGACAAATAGTGCATAAAAGCAATATTTTATTATTCACATATACTAGTATCACAAATACACATCATAAAAGACTAATAATATGAATGATGTTGCTTGGAGTGTAACCATATAACAAGATCTTAGTCTTAAATGGCTGACGCGTTTTGAGGAAAAAAATGCTTCCTCAGGGCCTTGGATCTCATTTGTACAAAACCTAGGACAAAATATATACAATTAGCAACAACATATAACAGTCATAGCATTATAAGCAATCATATGCAACAATTACATGACATAGACATAGTTGATGTTATTAACCAATGTAATTTACCAATTGGGGTTAATTACATCAACTATTTCTATGTCATGTAATTGTTACATATGGGGAAGTGGTTTTTCCTCAAAACATGTCAGCAATTTAAGACTAGGATCTTTAAAACAGTTATATGGTTACACTCCAAGTAACATCATTAATTTTATTAGTCTTTTATGATGTGTATTTGTGATACTAGTATATGTGAATAATAAATATTGCTTTTATGTACTGATATTTGTCTTTGTTCTATACCTCGGGAGGTGCATTTATAGTCCAAATTCTAAGTGCTGTTGTTTCACATAAATATACCATATTGGTACCTCCAGAGGGAATATTAACCCTATACCCATCCTCCACATATGGTTTTTGACTTCATGAGAAACAACAGTGTATTCAAAACTAGTATAGAATTTTTAGAATACGGTTATTGGCAGTTTCTAGCTCTGCAATACGTTTATCTCATCCATATGAAACTGACTCCATGGAAATTGGGTGCGCCACAAAAAACACAGTAGCAGTGACCTCCTGAAGCTCAAGAGGCATGTCTAAGACAATCAGTGGGTCTTGTGGGAGTCTGGACTTCTGCAGACAGGAAGCATGCCTGCTATATTGTTCTTCAAAAAAAATATTGAGGCACAAAGTGTGGAAAGGTTGGAGAGGGAGAATGTTAAAAAGCAGCACAATTTTCCATGAAGCACCAGAGACAGATGAAGATGGGGCAGAAACAGGCAAAGCTGAAATTCTGCTTTAGACTGGTTCACACTAAGGTGGTGCTGGACACTGCATGTAATTCGCACAGGGATCGCACCGCATTCCTGCGCGAATTACATGCAATGCCTGTGTGGTGCAAACAAATCGCATCCACACCAAAAAAGGTGCAGGACCCTTTTTTTTTACCAGCACCTGATTCACATCGCTTGGGTGTTCTCACCCATGCAATGTGATTTTTGGCAATCAAATTTCATGTCTGTTTCGGGTGTCATTAATTTAACATTGACACCCGCACCAGTTCTCATGAACTTCATACAATTGCAATGCAGTGTAGGAAACATTGTGAGTCCTGTGCATTTCCAGCACCACATTGCAAACAGTGTGAACCCAGTCTTAAACAGATACAGTACATTCATAAGAACAGAATATATTTTGTCATAGTTAGCCTTTAGGAGAAAAAAAAAAGAAAATGTTTATTCAAATAAACCTTTCAAATATCGACCACCAAAACCACAAAGAACAAACAGTAAAAGTAAAAACCGGTTAATGAAACAAGTTTTAATAAAGACAGAATAGTAT